CAGGTATTTCAGGTACTCTGTTCACTGAAAATGATTTATAGTTCTTCAGCTATGCTAAGATTCTCTTGTATACTTTAGATTGCTCTTTCAAACACAGAGGTGTTTTTTGTTTTCTGATTAACAGTGCTAGCTGCCGTAGACCAATCAAAGGAGCTGCTAGCCGGCCTATCGAGCACACTGACTTCAAAATGGATGAAAGTTTCTTTAAGTATGCTCCAAAATATAGTACCTCAAGTGACATCAAGTCTGAGAAACCTTCAACAAAAAAAGAACGCTCCGTTCCCCTGTGGATAAAAATTCTTCTCTTTGTTCTTGTTTCAGTCTTCTTGTTTTCAGTTTATCAGTCTATGGAAACTAATCAAGGAAATCCTTTCTCTAAATACATTCAGATGTTCTCTCAGGACGGTGCCAAATGAGTATCTTTCTGAAAGGCACACCCAATTTTGATCTCCTGTTTTTAATTGTAGAGAACTCTCCTGCCCTCTCATCGGCTCAAGGACTACTTATAAATGATGTGATTGGAACCTGATAAATTTGGATAAACGAAGCAAACTAATATTAAATGGACACTGGTAATTTTCTGGACTTTGGACTAGTAGGAGATCACTTTGCCATAGGAGTAACATTTTTTTTTTTCAGGTCTTTGAACTTTTGTAGGCTTTATTTTTTTAATGTGGACATCCTTTAAATTCATTTTTGAGAAACTGTATATTTGTTTTTGCGGGAACTTGGAAGCTGAGAAGGGCAAAAATGTACTAAAATGTGAAGCTGTGTTTTTAAAGCTTTTTCATTGTGCAGGAAAGAAGTTGTACTTTTGTCTTGGTGGATCTTGATAGGTTATGAAGGGAGGAAGATTTGTAACAAGGGAATGAGGGAGATGCATTTTTGTATGCATTTTTCAGTAACAAATTAACTGAATTTGATCTCTTAGGAAGTAGGGAGAGTACAACAGGCTTTTCTGTAGGTTACTGTAACTTTTTAGTAAATGTAACTGTAAACTTGTTCGCATTTCTGTAAAAGTCTTAGTATCATATTAGTAACTGTTTAAGTGTAACATTTAAATGTATCACTTCATTTCAGTGCTTACAGTGTTGTAGGAGTTCAATATAAATTGGCAACAGGTGTCTTAGAGGAACTTATTTATTAGTAATATGCGTGGAAAATAAAAATTGCATCAAATACAATTTGCTACTAAATACTTTTTTGGGGTAAAAGTTGTTACCTAAGGTAGTCTAAATTCCAACTTTTAGCAGTGGTCTTTTTTCTTAATGTAAGGTCCTTCCATCACAGCTTTGTGACTATCTTTGAATATTCATGTAGAGAGGTATTCTCAAAGTGTGAAAATTCCATATGAAGTTTTATTCTTATATGAAGAGGGCATTGCTGCATTTTCTTCTACAATTTCATCTTCTGAGGTGAGATTTACTACGTTCATGCAGTTGAGTATTTTTCTCAGTGGAAGCATGCTAAAACACTCAATATTGTATAACTTAGTTGAGCAGGCAGCTGACTTCACTACTACCAATGAGGAGTGATAAGCAACAACTTTTAAATTGAATGTATTCATTTTGATGTGCTTAAATCCGCAGCATACAGATGTTCAGTCTCATTGCTTCGTACAAAAATGCAATAAAATCATACTTATTCTTGAAGTGCTACTTATGAAAAGCTGAGAACTTTAGTTAATGGTCTATTTTTACTATAGGTACAATTATTGTGTAGACTAGATATGGGAGAACATTAGTTTCTGTGACCTTTGGGACAAAGATGGTAATTTGTAGCAATGCTATAGGTTTCTTCTGTTAAGATTTAATGTTTTTTTCCTTTATCTGCTTTCTGAGTAATCCAATTAGCTGAACTTGTGTCCATCCTATAGAAAATTGTAACTCATGACATTCACTTTTTTGGTGTCAAACTGCAGAAAAATAAAAATGATTTTAATGTGTGTGGATTTTCCTTACCAAAATAAATGCATTGCTGGAAAGAAGAAAGCAAAAGAAAGTCAACCCGTGCATCAGTCGTTGTGTTTCGTGCTGCTGTATTTCATCTTTATGAAAGTGGATTGTTCTGGTAGTAAAACTAGAGCTATCAACAGGTGGTAAGGGAGAATAGTCCTAATACTTGCACCGTAAATATTACCACTTAAATATTTGGCACCATTATTTAGCATATGTTATCATCTTAATTTGAACAGAGGAAGTTACTTATTTTTCAGTACTCAAGGAATTTCCTTTTCGTTTTTCATCCTACTATGCAATATATGTTAATGTGAAATTATTTTTTCTAGCTATATGAAATACTCTCAACCACTTTCAGGGATACTGTTGTTGTTTTTAAACAGCAATAAAACCCAACAACCTGCAATGCAATTATGCCATTTATCTTACAGGAAAAAAATGTCTGTCTTCTTGGGGCATTTAATATTGTGAGAGCTTTACCAACACTGCTAGAGCCAGTCTAATAATTGCATGGGTAACACACGTAGTAATAGCACAAGTAGCTGAATGATTGAATGTGCTTAAAGTATCCGAAATACCACTGTCTAAATTATACTGAAGTATGCTCTATTCTTTATATGAAAGTGGTGAAGTGCTGCACTTGTACTTTTCCTTTAAAAAGAAAAAAAATAACAAAATTCCTTGGTTTTTTTTTTTTTTTTTTTGTTTTTTTTTTTTTTTTTTTAGGCAAAACTGGGTTAAATTTTCATCAGCAGTAACAAAATGGAGCAGATTTGTGCACTGGTACTTGCTTAACTTTTTCTTAAGCTTTTTCCCATTAAACGATGTGCTGATAATGTGCATCAAGTCTCAGGAGTCTGCTCTCAAGCTGTGAAGCGCCAGGTGAAATTGCCAGCATTGGAACTTAATTTTATGGTACCTGACCTATTGTAAGGCCTGGGGAGTTTACTTAATACGTTAAAGATCCTCCTTGAGAGTTTCTTGTCTAAGTTAGAATTCTGTGTGTGGTTTGAAATTTAGATTTGCTTAAGTAAGAAATGATGTGAAGGAATGTATTTTTTTCCTCCAGAGTTTACTTGCTAGCAGTATATGTGTACTGTACAACAGAATGCTGTGTGTTTTGTAGTGGCACAACCTACAAAAGTCTCCATGATAACAACAGTCCTCAGTTTGTGCAAATAACTTCTCAGATGATCCTGTGGATGGAATGTCTTTGGAAAAATAAAATTGATTTGTTCAGATTTAGAACAGAGGAGTCCAAAAATAATGTCTTTTATAATGGAGCTCCATAGGGAGGCATTTCAACAGAAAAAATGCAGATGCTGCAAATGAAGCTTGGAAAATTGTGTGGAGTACATTGTCTGGTGTTTTTTGCTTGCTTTACCTGACTAATAGATAAAGGGTAGGTTGTGATGTTTAATTTTAAAACCTTGTGTTTATGAGCTTGTTTTTCAGCATAGTCTTAGTTATCATAAGAGATTTGACCTCATGGGCTTCACCAAAATGTTAGGTCTGTGGAAAGCTCTTGTAAGACAGGAGCTAAAGGGGGAGGAAAAAAAAAAAAGTGAGTGTTAACAGAGAAATATGGCTAGGAAAGCTTTGCAGTGGCCAAACTGGTATACTCCTATCTACCCAAAATTTGAGAAGATACAGACAGATTTAAAGAGAAGAATTTAATTTACAGTGACTGTTTTTACTGTGAATTTGAAAGAGGCGGACACTAAAGCATAGTCTTGAAAGACTATTTTCTATTGCTGCCTTCACTGTGTGCCAGAAATCAGATTCGCTTGATCAAACTGCAGGCTTCTGCTATTTTATTCTTTCAGGTCTAGAAAAATTGAAGGGGTTTTCTGCATAAAATGGAAGGCATTCAGCAGAAACACGTGTTATTCCTGTCCTTTCACTAGGATGTTAGGCTCTACTCAGCTCTTGTGAGGCCCCATCTGCAGTACTGTGTCCAGGCCCCTGGTACAGGAAGGACGTGGAGCTCCTGGAGCAGGTCCAGAGGAGGGCACTAAGATGATCAGAGGGCTGGAGCACCTCTCCTGTGAGGAAAGGTAGAGAGAAGTGGGGTTGTTTAGCTTGGAGAAGAGAAGGCTGGGGGGAGAACTCATTATGGCCTTCCAGTACTTGAAGGGAGAATATAAGCAGGAAGGGGAATGGCTGCTTATGAGGATGGGTAGTGATAGGACAAAGGGGGAATAGTTTTAAACAGACAGAGGTTTAGGTTAGATATGAGGAGGAAGTTTTTCACACAGAGGGTGGTGACACACTGGCACAGGTTGCCCAAGGAGGCTGTGGATGCCCCATCCCTGGAGGCATTCAAAGCCAGGCTGGATGTGGCTCTGGGCAGCCTGGTCTGCTGGTTGGCAACCCTGCACAGAGCAGGGGGTTGAAACCTGATGATCTTTGTGGTCCTTTTCAACCTAGGCTGTTCTATGATTCTTTGACTTGTAATAGTATTTGTTAATAGTGCAGAGGTTAGAAGTTAATTGTCAGCTAAAACCTCGTAACAGGTCATTATACAGGCCAATTTCAATAGTAGTAGTTCAAATAGTAGTGATGCTAGTTAACGAGAGACAGAACTCAGCACAGTACTAACTTCAAACCGCGCCTGAAAACAGCACACGATTAAGAGTAGGAATGGTAGCTGGCCTGGGAACAGGCAGTGCCCAGCTCCGACCAGTCCCAGGCTGCGGTCGCACAGGTAACGCTGCCGCCGCCTGTCACGAGCGGAGCTGGGCGTGCCTTGCGGTTGCCATCGCTTGGGGCTGCGTGCAGGCATGCGGTGGAGCCCGCAGCCGGCGAGTGGGAACCGCAGGGAGGAACTCCAGGGCCGCGGGCACACGCACCGTCACCACGGTCCTTTTCTCGCCCGCGTTTTTTCCTCCAAGTGAGATGTACGCATCCTCGCGGCGTTACGTAGAGCGTGGGGAACCCCGCCCTCCCCTCAGCGACAGTCGCCCCCTCCCCCACCTCGGGGAGGAAGGGCGTTGGCGCGGACCGCGCATGCGCGGCGACACCGGCTCGCGGGGCGCCTCCGCCAATCGCCTCGCGCCTTCTTGCCCTGTGGCTCCGCCTCTCGCGTCGGCGAAGGACAAAGTCACCGCGCCGGGCCTGCGGTCAGCCTCTGCACCCAGCTGCGGCCGGAGCAGCGCTGCGCGCCCGCCGCCATCTTAGGAGGTGAGTCGGGTCGCCCGGCCGGTGGGGCCCGCTGCACGCTTGGGGAGCTGAGCGGGCGCCGGGTGCTCGGCCGCCGGGCCGTGCCGGTCGCGAGGCCTCGCCGCCCCATTGCGTTCTTCTCGCCCGCTTCAGGTCGCCATGTTCTCGTCCATCGCGCCCCTCGCGCGGCTCAACCCCTTCTACGCTCCGCACTTCCAGCTGTGCCAGGATGGGCTGAGGAGGCGCGCCGAACCGGCCGAGGCGCCCACCACGCGGCGGGGCCTGGCGGCCGCGTCCGCTACCGAAGGTAAGAGCTGGAGGGGAAGATCGTGGCCGGGCCCGCTCCCCTCTGCCGTAGCGGGCCCGTGCCCGTTGGGGCGGGGAGCGGCCGGCGGCCGCTTGGAGGACGAGGAAGGGCAAGGGGGGGGAGGCGCTGGCGGCCTCTTCCGCTCCCCGGCGGCGCGCGCCGAACGGCACCGCGCCTTCAGCGCCGCCGGCGAAGGACGCGAGAAGGTCCCGGATCGGAGCGGCGGTGTAGGCCCTGCTGATGGCTGCCCTGGGGTTGCCGGATCGCTGCTTCTGGCCCCGCTAGGCCCGTAGACCCTCGCTTTTGCCTGCGGGGAAGAGCAGCGTAGAAGTCTGCGGACGTGGATGGGTCTGAAGATCCTTTTTGCGTGTGTGTATTTTATTCTCGTCTCAATATCCACACGCGTTGTAGGAGCAGCTATTCTGTGTTGATATTTTTGTTTTTTTCTCCTTAGTAGTTTAGTAGATAGAGGGCATGCACGAGGTAGCTGTGAAAAGACACAGTGATGCTCCTTAGATTTAAGTCCAAGCCCTTTCTGCGTGTTACTTAATCTCTGCTGTGACTTCCAAAGGTCAGACCTTCCTGTAGTGGAAGTAGATGTGAAAACTCACGTTTCTATAAGCTGTCTATAGGAAAATGCCTGCCTGCTTTTATTAAAAATTCCATACTATAAAATCTTGACAAGATTTCTTTTGTGAAGCTGTAATTACTGTAATTACTGATGTCTGTCAGTGCTGTTGTATGAATGTCCGTGTAGCATTTGAAAAAGACAGAACTGAGTGTTCGGTTTCATTGAATTTAAAGAAACAAACCTTGGCTTTCAGTAGTAGTAGCATTGCTCCTAGCTGAATAAAGTCCTAAATCACCATTCAGCATGCTAAATATATCTTGTACGTGCACTTATTTCTTAAAATTATTATGTTAAATCTTCATCCATTTTGTAAGCAGATGAAGATACATATGTTTCTTTGTCTGTCCTGCTATTTTGTTAATTGGTACTCTTGATCTTTGTGTTGGGAGAGTAACAGAAGATATCTGAGCTTATGCAAGGTCACACAAAGTCATCAGTAGAACCCACAAGACCTTTCAAGTTCAGCTCAGGGCATCAGCCATAACGCAGCTCTTGGAATTTGTCCTTGTTAGTGGTTCAGATCTAAAGTAACAACAACAGCTAGGATTATTTCATTTAACAGAGTAGACATGTTTTTGTGCTGTGTATTTATATTTAAGTAGCTTTATTGCGTTTGTCGTAAGTCAGCATCTACTTATGTTAGGATGTCTTTCCTGTAATTTCCTCTGCTGCCATTCTATTCTCAGATAACAGTTTTTAAGGAAACGTGGTTACACTTCTGAAATAGAAAATAAGGTATCTAATGTGATTGTCTTTTATTTTCCTAATACTGCTCTGCTGCTGCAAACATAGGTACATGTAAAGAGTGTAAGCCAACCTGATAGTGGCTTGGTTTTCTGTGCTTTTGAATATCCAGTGGACCAATCAGTCTGAGTATCACTGGAATAAATGAGATACTTAAAACTCTACTTACCTGTGTTCTCTACAGTGCTCTGCCTTACTGAGGAGTGCAACTTTTTAACAGTAAATTAATATAGAAAAGAGGGGGTGTGAAAGGGCAGTTCAGGTGTCTTGGCAGTGTGGGAAGTACAGTACTGTCATGCTGAAGACGTGGTTAGACAGAACCACCCAGTAATTCAGACCTGGAGGCTTCTCTGATTACACTTGTATAGACAAACTCATTTGTGTGTATTTAACCAGTCATTCTGATGAGTTTTAAACAGAGTATTTCTGCAGTCTGGAAAGCAGACAGCTTAACCATGCTATTTAGAGGTATGTGCAAGTCCTGGACTAACATATTTTCAGCTTTGGGTATTATCTCAGTTTAAAAAAAAACCTCTTAGGTTATACATTATTCTGACTGTTAATTAATTCCTGTCTTTAAATTTAAGCTTAATGTTGCGTCTCTGATTTGAAATGTGTTGTTATTTCAGAATAAAGAGGTAATGAATTTTTATTGTCTTACTGGTTAATTTTGAAGAGTAAGTTGGGAGATAAATGAGATGAAAGTTCTGGTATGTTTTGGGGAAGCTCTTTTACAATAGAGAAGTTGCAAGTTGGATAAACCTGTTAGTGTTAATGGGTGATTAGCTGATGGTGTTGCACATAATTGGAAACTTCTGTTCATGTTCATGAAGAAATTTATTTAAAACAGGATGATTTCACACGGAGTACTTTATGGAGCAGTTCCAGTTAAATATCCATTGATGACGTATGGTCAAAAAGTTTCTTTGATTAACCTTTTCTATAACGTTAAATGTGAATATTCAGTCTAATGAAATTCTGAAATTTCATTTAACAGAAGCTGTTTAAATCTCAATTTCTGCGTTTGAAAGAAAAATTCATCTACATGAAGGATCTGAAAAATACCTGAAAAAATACTGTATAAAGGAAAAAAAAATCCAGTCTTTGACAGATCTGTGTGGTCTCTGCAATCAGTGTGAGAGATTTTTAAGCCATAATATTTCATTCCTTTAGGTAGTAGGGGCTTAAAAAGAAGTTTTGTCTCTAGAATAATAAATGCTTGTTTCCTTGATACAAGAAGATGCTTGATGTTGCGGCTTTGAGTCGTAATTTGTAGTAGTAGTTATGGAATTATTTCAACACAAATATGCTGTGAGCTATAACCTTTTTCATTACTTTTTATTTTTTTCAAAGAAGAAACTCATGTTGAATGGCCTAGAATCCAATCTTGACAGTCCAGAAGGTGTTAAGTTAAGCGGAGGAGATTATTTCTGATATAACTCTGTAGTTAAATAGTATAGCGTGAAAAATTATTTGAATTTAATAATTTTGAGAAGATAGCACTGGATCAATTCTGTTTCTTTTCTGATGTTCATTACCATGTCTGGTTGAAATGTAATTTTTTTTTCCTAATTAGAATACAGCTGTGCATATGGCTCAGGCAGATTCTTTGTGCTCTGTGGTTTCGGTGGGATTATTAGCTGTGGAACAACGCATACAGCACTGGTTCCTCTAGACCTGGTTAAATGCAGAATGCAGGTTTGTTCTGCATGCGGTGAAGTTGATAAAGTGTGTTTAGTGTGAGATAATTAATCTACTAATGAAATGGAAGCTTAAACTATCTCTTGGACATCATTGCCCAACGATGCATGAAGTTTATGTAAAAGCATGGTGTGTCTTTATGTTTTGCTGCAGAATACAGTTGTGAATATGGCTCGCTCAAGTTTTATGCTCTTTGTGGCGTTGGTGGGGTCCTAAGTTGTGGCCTGACACACACTGCTGTCGTACCTCTGGATTTAGTGAAATGTCGTATGCAGGTTTGTATTAACTCAGACATTTCTTAAACTTCTTCTGTACGTAGCCAGCATATGGAGAGTTCACAGTACCTTTTCTGGATGCCACACAGCAAATAAATTGAGTGCTGATTGTCGAGCTTAATGCTGTGAGGTTAACAAAATACCACATTCAAGGGAAGCAGAGTCATTTAGGCTAACCTGGGTAAGTTAACTATGTTCAAGATAAGTTTAGCATACTACGTTTCCAAAACTACACCCACCACAAAGTTATTCTGTGCTGACTGGTGGGCTGCTCTGCACAATTCACGTATTTCAAAAGAAGGAATTTGTATCATTAGTGTTTTGAAGACTTAATTATGTTTTTAGCCTGAAGTGTTGTGCATGTTTAATTTGAGCCATTAACATTTTGGACATTGCTGCATGAATTACAGCTTGGATAGTTTCTCATGATGACATTTACAGTATAAAAGGTAGAACTTTAAATTGTAAGGGTGTCAGTGCTTGTGTCTGGTTTCCTAGTAGTGATAGGAATGGTTTCTCACTGAACTGGAAGAAGTGAAACCTCACTGCACTTAACTTATGAATACCAACTCCAACATTAAAACAATCTGGTAAACAGCTGTGAGTAAAAACAGTAATGGGTTTATTCAGGCAAATCTGTGCCTCAAGAACATAGCAAATTAAAGCACACTTGTAAATCCCTGGAAATGTATTGAAGCTATTAACACTTCAGTATTGTATAGACTGATACCAATTCTAAAAGTATCAATTTTGTAATGGTAGAACTCCTGGAACGAGGACCAATCACACTAGGAGGACCGCCTGTGCTGTTCTTTAAAACTGTTCTTCTAGAGGGCCTTTAGCCCTCTAGAAGTTTAGGAGGGGGAGGGTTTTGTGTGCTCAAGAGCATCTTAAATTCTGGTCTCAAAGTATTGGTTTTGTAATGCACTGGGCAGACCCATGGTGCATCAGATGCAGGCAATGTGATGCCTTTTATAAATTTCCCTTGAGGCTCAGTCTCAATCTCTATTTCTGCCATAGAGGAAAAGCTGTAGTTGCATACATGTGTTATTTCTGAAAGTGTAGCTTAAGTGAACTCTTCTGTTGTTACAGTCAGTGCATGTCATGAAAAGCCAAGATATGTAGTTTGACTTAGGCAAAGATGAGCTTCTTGGGAAGGAGGAGATTGATCACGAGTAGAGAGGGTGTAGCATCTCAAACAGTTCTCAATCGGATTGCAAGTTGGGTTGTTGGGCAGAAGGCCTGAGAGTCACGCAGCGCTGCATTTACCACTGGGAGCAAGACCTCATAATTCATAAGCTTCATTGGTTTTGTAGGTGTGTTTTACTTGGGCTTCTAGTCCTGGGCATCCTTTGAGATGAAGTTGGTTATGCTTCCCCTTCTCTAGAGAAGATTCCATTTGGCTTCCAGTGTAACCTTGTAAAACCTGTCAGCATTTATCTTTTTACAGGTCCTATAAGAGAGCATGTTATTAATCCTCCCTAGATTCTCCAGGAAGAAAACTGTTTCCTGTCCTCACATGTACTTTTAAGAAGAGGTAGTCTCCTGTGTAGATGATAATTAGACATGACTCTGAAATGAATATAGTCTAGTTTTACTGTACCCAGTTAAATATTGAATGTTCTGAAATTGACGTGTTTAGGTAAATTAGTTCTCAGTCAGTGGATAGGCTGCAAGTTAAAGAATTAGTCGCTGCCGTTTCACACGCATGTCCTTTGACTGTCTTCTAAAAGGATATCTTCCTTTTCACCTTCCTGGGGAAATGCTGGATGAAAACAAGTATGAAAGGCAAGTGGACATGACTTAAAATCTGTCAGAATGACATGCTTCAGAGTTTCTGTTAAATGAATTGTTTGCTTTCATGTGAAACAAATAGTCTGGTTGGCCTTTATTCTAAGATCTGATACTCAGAGTACCAGATGACCTCCAGAGGTCTTTTCCAGCATCAACGAAGGTTTTTTTGTGTTCAGAAAATATTTTGAATGTAGCCCTTACTGCAAAATCAAAGTACAAGTGCAGAAGTTCTTTACTCTTTGATCTACCTATCTTAGTCTAATTGTTTTGAGGGATCAAACTAATAGTGGGCAAATAACCTTTTCTGTTTAAGAATCAGGGGAATCTTCAGGCTTTGTATTTGGTGTAGGTGTTATATGTAGGGTTGATAAGATTGCTGATAAAAGCTGTCAAGATTTTAAAGAATCTGATCTAAACAAAATTATGCAAAAATAGTGCTATCAGTGTTAGTGAGTCTCTCCTATGTACCAAGTCCTAGTTGTCATGTGGAAAATAAATACAAAGCAAAATTGAGGCTGCTTGTTTCCTGAGTATTGAAGAACATACTGACTATTTAAAGTTAGGGATTGAGACTAGCAGGTAACCCTTGCAGTTACATTAGTGTAACCTTGTGGTGATGATGTTGTCCAGGGAAATCCAGCTGTGTGAGGAATTCAAGAATTTTCTATTCCACTTGGAGGTGTGAGAAGAGAAAACAATGTCAGATGTCAAGCAATTAACTGTCTGTTCTGTTTAGGTTGATCCACAAAAGTACAAGAGCATCTTCAATGGATTTTCAGTGACAATCAAAGAAGATGGATTTCGTGGCTTGGCTAAGGGATGGGCTCCAACTTTTATTGGATACTCCTTGCAGGGGCTTTGTAAATTTGGTTTCTATGAAGTTTTCAAAATCTTGTATGGCAACATGCTGGGAGAGGTAAGCATTAAGTACTTTATGTGAAACTGTGCACCAGCAGCGTAACAGTACTACTAGCAGAGAGGAATCAGGAAAAGTACAATTCATTAATGAAAATACGTTTAATTCACTTCAGGAAAATGCCTATTTGTGGCGTACTTCGTTATATTTAGCTGCATCTGCCAGTGCAGAGTTTTTTGCTGACATTGCTCTGGCTCCAATGGAAGCTGCTAAAGTTCGCATTCAGACACAGCCTGGATACGCTAACACTCTGCGGCAAGCGGTACCTAAAATGTTTGGAGAAGAAGGCATTTGGGCGTAAGTTTTTAGTGTTTCCTTATTTTTTTATTTTGACTTGAATTCTCATTTTTTAAAATATTTTTCCTGACAAAGAACCGTTGCTAAAATCAGTAGTGGCTTTAGCTTACAATACTTTGTTGGTCTTTCTAGTTCAGGATAACAACTTAACGCACTTAACATCAGGGAAGCTGTGCTGAGCTGGCTGTTAGTTCCACATGCTCCTTAGATCCATCTTTGTGAGTATCTTTGTGCTGAGTTCTGCTGGATAACTTCAGTTTCTAGCAGTTCCAGTCGAAGTTGCTCAGCAACTTTTTTGGTTGTACAGTCGAAGATGCTTGAGTCATTGGCATGTGAGAGAAATATAACTGCATGTTAGCTTTCTGTTCTGATAAAAGTGACTGTAAATACATGAGTCATTTACCGCTATCAGGACGTGGCTGGTATGCAGACATTGAACCTTGCTGCACTTCATTATTGCAGTGCATTGTGATCTGAAATGTGACAACAAAAATAGCTGTGCAGAGTAGGGATCAGTTAAATTCCTGTTTTGCTGTTTGCAGGTAGTGCACAGAAATGAATAATAGAAATATGTTCCTGCTCCATAGGTATTGTGGCAATTTGACCTTACAGTGTCAATCTGTTAGGAATTGTTTTGCTGATAGCAGCAGGAAGATAATGATTTTTTTTCAGATTTGAAGTACTTCTTCAGTACTACAGATAATCAAACAGTTTCTCTTCTTGTTAAGTTTCTATAAAGGCGTTGCTCCGCTATGGATGAGACAGATTCCATACACAATGATGAAATTTGCCTGCTTTGAACGTACTGTTGAAGCTCTCTACAAGTATGTTGTTCCCAAGCCACGAAGTGAATGTTCAAAAGGAGAACAGCTGGTAGTCACATTTATTGCAGGCTATATTGGTAAGAAAACTTTAAATCCTGCTCTTGAAAGCCACACATTTTTCTCTATCTCAAATAGATGTGAGAGTGAGGGAATTTGCATGTAGCTTCAGCAAGTGCAGGTGAAAAGCCTGGATTCAATCTCTGATTGGAATGAGTGAGCCTGTAGTAGGATAGTACTCTCAGTTATTCCTGTGTCTGCTATGTCAGTGCCTTAGTTTAGAAACAACAGCTGGTTCAAACAAGAAAACTCGAATCTTTGCGAGGCTACAAAAGAAACAGGAATGTTGAAAGAATGGTAGAGAAATCTTAGTGGAAGAGTGATTGTGCATTTGCAAAGATTCAAGATGAGTTTTCTTTTGACAGAAGGGGTAGGGATAATTTAGCTGGTTGAGGTGTTTCCCAATAGTCATATAACCCTAATAAGAACAGACTTCTTCAATATCAGGAGACTTGATGTATCTCCTGTGCAGTTTGTTAGTGATCTAGGGAAGGTGTTAATTCAGTTGGCTATATTTACTATGCGCAGTAGTGATGCAGATAAAACACCACAGAAATGATGTCAAATTATTCTTTCAGCTGGTGTGTTCTGTGCAATCGTTTCTCATCCTGCTGACTCCGTGGTATCTGTGTTGAACAAGGAAAAAGGCAGTTCTGCCTCACAGGTTCTTAAGAGGCTTGGATTCAGAGGTAAATACATACCTTCATGCATTTTGGGTTTAGTGTCTGTGGTCATTTGTGTTCTGGAGGGGATTTCTTCTTTCCTGGTTTCTTCTGCTCATGGCTTATATTTTTGTTCTGCAGGTGTCTGGAAAGGTCTGTTTGCTCGTATCATCATGATTGGTACCCTGACTGCGCTACAGTGGTTCATCTACGATTCTGTGAAGGTTTATTTCAGACTTCCTCGTCCACCTCCACCTGAAATGCCAGAATCTCTGAAGAAGAAGCTTGGTTTAATTCAGTAGACACCTCATGGACTGACTTCGCTGGCTGTCCAGTGATGAGTTTCATGAAACTTTTATATATTTGACTATGTGGAAAACAAACTCTATATGGTGTTATTATTGGCTGTACCCTCATCCCACATGAGGGTTTAAATTCTACCACTGTCATTGCCTGAAATAAATGAGAAACAGAGTGCTTAGTGTCTGTTTACTACTGCATATATGAGCTTCATTTCACAGCAGCAAATGCCTCAGATACTTCCCAAAATGAAAAATAAAAAATAGGCCTTTCTGCACTTCAAGAATTAGAATTGTGAAACGGCAGCAGCAAAATAGGCTTTCATTGTTCCCAGAGTAGGGCCAAGGAACCCCATGCAGTATTGCAGAAACTTACTGCAGCTATATGCTTTTTTCCAGTCCTGTTTCACCAGCTGTTTCTGTAAAACAGATTAATTGCAGTGATTGAGATAAAAACGCAGTCTGATAGGACATCCCAGTTACAGCATCTGTGTTCTCCATAGATTTGAGGGAGAATCTTACACTACTCAGAACTCTGCATTGGAGTAGTCACTGCAATGCAAATTATGCTTACTTGACTAATTTCTGCTTCTCTTGGCTTTGAACTGCACCAAAGATGTTGTTTTGGCTGTACTGTGGAATTAAATTGCAGCAGCTACTTTAACAAGAGCAAAGCTGATGTAATAAAGTTTCTCAGAAATATTCAACTACTAAAAGATAATTAAAAATGGCTTGTTTCTTCTTGGAGGGATTGAACATGCCAACTTTTTCTTAACTTTGGTATTTCTGTAGTTTGATTTACACTCCTGTGTCCCCCTGCCTTTTTTTTCACTTAATTATGTTAATACTGAGTTTTGGTTAAACCATACATTTCTGAATGCCTGATTTTGAACCTTAATGATTTGAGGAAATCTTAAGCTTGTAGGCATGCAAGGAGAGAATCCTGAAAATATTTTATTAAGGCAATGAATTTTGTTTGTTTCCAGTATTTAATGTAAGAGATGAGCATGCTGCCTTTTGAGTTTCAGCTGTACAAGAGGCAACAGTCGAATCGCACTAAGTAAAATTCAGAACATGCCTAATAGTGTATTAAGGGTTCATCACCTCCAGCATTACTTTGTTCACTTAGTAGAGCTGGAGCATGTGTCCTTTTTGCAGAACTTCCATATGTTGCCTTTCAGCATTCAAGCTGGTGATGAACAGTCTGCTCTGTTGGAGTAGCGTAAATAGATTGACCACATCATCCTATTGAGGTCTAATATTTCTGCTACTATTTTACATAGCATTGAGATCCCTGCTACTTCGAAAAAGGCCCTCTGACTTTCCAAGATTTTTGGATGGTTATGCTAAACAAGTAAGTTAGCCTTTATTTCCTTTCTAAATGAGGAGTAAAATCTAAAACAGATTCCCTTTTCCAATGACACTAAACATACATTCTTACAGTGGTTGGTAGCTAACAGCATTATACTGCAAAGCCCAATTCCCTAAGTCTAAATAAAACACTTGTGTGAAGTACTTTGGGTTGAATTTCAGGGATAAAAGCACATACATCTTGTTGCCCCTGTTGCTGGTAGGAAGCTTTGAAGCTATTTAACAAAACCTGCTTCTAAGAGTTTTTTGGAGGAGAGCATTAACTACAACCTTGATCTTACATCAAGACCACCGATGCTAAGTAATTTTAGAAATTGCCTTTTGTATGTGGTTCGACTTAACTGGTAAACATAGCATCTCTTGTGCACTGAGTAGCATAGTCTGTTTAAAGGCATGCATTAACCCACTGGACTTTACTAAAAAACATAGCAACTTTCTAATCCAGGGAAAGTGAACCACTTCTATGAACTTTCAAGGCCAGCAGAAGAGTAAGACAGAATTTGCCTTACATAGCAGGGTAATCTGACTATCAAGTAAACCAATGTTAAGCTACATTTTGCAAGACTTTCCTCTTGTTTCATGGGTGGAGCAAAATCGTGGTTTTTCTCTAGAAAGACCTGGGCTACCTTTGTGCAGCTGTAAACACATGCAGTAATAAAATAACGTTATTTTTGCTCTAAGGTGAACCTGAAGCTGTCCTTTGGAAGATGACCTTTATCAAGGTCAATCAAAGATAAAACTACTAAGAACAGTTATATCTCCTTTTCTTTTGTAACTGAGAAAGGCAAAATAGACCTAGTTCTACTTCCACTATTCTGTTCCAGTGGAAAACTTGAGAGGGAGCTGCTGACTGGCAGCTGCAGCTGCTAAGTGTTGATTTTTAGCCATAGGCTTGTTTGGATGCTTGAGATGCTTTAACATAGAAAATGCTATTGCACAAAAAATTATCCACTGAAATTTTAACTGCTTCAGTGGGAAAGTGGTGGTATTAAAATGTATTCGAAAGTCAAACTTTGTCATTAATAAATGTGCTTTATAGCATTATGTGCAGTATGTTTTCTCAAAGTAGAGAAGATGGGTGGGAGAGCCACGGTACTTCAGATGGGCTTGGTTGTTTTTACAGAGAAAGTCCTGTATCGGAAAGGAGCACTCCTCTGGAACCACGTATAACTGAGATAACTTCAGAACAATCATTAAACCCAAGAGTGCTTCATAAAACACGGATCATATATATGCTGCTTCTGTATATTTTTTTATGAAGGAGAAAACATACTCTCTTAATATTTATGGAGCTGAAATCTGCTTTCTGGTTTAAAACGTACTGCCTATAGAAATTTGGAATAAGAACTTTCACACCCTGTGCTTGTATTACATTGTACTACAGATCAAATTCGCTGATGTTGCTAATACGTGCTGAAATGCTTGTAACATATCATTTTAAACTGGGCTATAATAATACAAATAGATGTAATTCATTTACATTTCTACATGGAAATATAGTTCACAGTGAAAACAATAAATCCTGTTTTTTACAGTGAACGTGAGTACCTCTTGGACAGATGAGCTCAATAGCTATATAGCCTTGTTACAGGATACAGTTTCTGTAACTTGAGTGATGTGGGCAAAGAATCACTAGCAGACTTCTGGCTGGCTTGGTGTTCTGGTGTCTGAGAGCAGACTTCAATACATTGGCTGTGCTCCTGTAATGTTTCAGTATTTGTCACTGAACACTGTTGATGCTTTTATTCACTGTAAGTTGCTGGCTACAATACTATTCTTGAGCAACATACTTGAGTGATAAGGTAAAAGCAAAGATGTCCTGAATATCATTATGGCTTAGACTGTATGGAACGAGTCTTTGCAAGTAGCAAAGCTGTAATTTTCATTGCTACCTGAATCTCTCCATCACATAATGAAATTGTAGAGGGTAGAGGGTATTGTTGACCATCCATAGAAATGAACTAAATAAGAATTGTGTTTTTCCTGATCTCATACACTCGCCCCTGCTGAGAGCACAAAAGCAAAAAGCAAGGCTAGTAGATTGATCTAAAGTTATGAAAATTGCCTCACTGTGCCTCATCTTTTCCAATACAGAATGAGTTTTGCCTCTGTCCTTTGACCAAACTGAGGAGGACTATGAATGTGGTGAAGGGTCTAGAGGGGAAGATGTATGAGGAGCAGCTGAGGTCACTGAGCCCAGAGAAGAGGAGACTGAGGGAGGGCCTCATGGTGGCCCACAGTTCCTCACGAGAGGAATGGAGGGATGGGTGCTGAACTCTTCTCTGGTGTTGAACAGTGCTCTCAGACATAGTTTTAGTTTTGGGTAGTCCTGTCTGGGGCCAGGATTTGGACCTGATGATCCGTGTGAATCCCTCCAGCTCAGGATATTCTGTTATTCTGTGCTTCTGTATTTTTCAGGTGCAATGCAGAACCTGCACTTTAACATGGCTGATCATTCTGGATGTTCTTTTATTTTCCTCCTTCAAACACCTTGTTATTTTCAGGAGTTTGCTCAAGAGCTGTGTGAAAGAACAAAGGTTCCTTGGTTGGCACATACGGATGCTTTGTAGGAAGACTTGTCTTTTAACAGTTTTATTCCTGTGGTTTGTCAGATGGACTGGAAAGGAGTAAAAGAAACTTGAAACATAAAAAAGTGCAAAAATCATGGAATGCTGAATGACGATGGGAAGAGTGAGGGAAAAGAATGATATATCTTCCATCAACTCAAGGGCCAACCAGCTGCACTGTTTTCAGATACGACCATCTGAACAGTTGACGAGTTATGAAGATCACCCTATTAGGTTATATCTCTTGACATAACTTCACTTTTAGGGATTTCTTCTCAATTGCTACATCTTGCTTAATTTTTTTAATAGCAATTTCAATTCCTACTTAGTGCACTTTCTTCTCTTTTCTCTGCTAAACGGTCTCCCAGTATCACGTTACTTCAATCTCTCTCTTACTACACTTCAAAATGCCTCAGGTACCGTAAGCTCTTGTTCTTCACCACAGAAATACAGTCAGGGGCTACTGTCAGTCTTACTCTTTGACATCTCAGTAGGTTCTCTTTGCTAATCTTGCCAATTGCTGTAGTATTTTACAGGCTAAGCAATGATGAATAATGCTGTTAGGATTCCTGTATGGATACATACAGGTGACACTGGGAGAAGGCCATCAATAAGATTAGTAGATCTTTCAAAGCACCCCCTCTGTATAGTACTGTGTTTTAAAGACCTAATACTGCTGCATAATTATGTGATTGCAATCATAAGGCCTCAGAGAAAATACTGATTTATAGGAAAAACTTTTTGCTGGGCATCAACTGCATTTCCTGTTTTTTTTCCTGCATTGCTTGGTTCCCTGCATTTACCTCTTTAAATACAGATTATTTAAAAAATTAAAATAGGAAACTGCTGTGGTTCCCAAAAAAAAAAAAAGGTTAATGTATTGAGACAAGCACTAAATTGCTAATGCAGTTTGATTACCTTTCATTTATGTGGAGACCACAATTTTATTCCTTCTTTTGAAGCAGGAAAGGGAAAGCTGAAGATCAGTATTTTATGCTTCAATACTGTTTTATTGTACAAAACAAGCATTTAATTAAATATAGCACCTGTCACCCTTCGGAAAGACATAAATATGCACAGAAACAAGTTTTTTGTTCAAATTATAGCTTGTTTTCCCTCAAAATCAGTATTTTTTTTTTTTCTTCTCTTTTAAAAGAAAGAAGTTTCAAAGTTCCAGTGTGCTTCTAAACAAAGCCTTTAAATGTTGTCTTTCTTCTTAGCACTATTCATGATGGAGTAACACTCCTCAAACATTGCTATTTCGTAGGCAGTGTCTTTTCTAGTGATCAATTAATGTCTGAGATCTTGGCTATTTCCTCTTTCATACCTTTGATCTCAGTCTGAACTCTTGTTAGATTGGTCAGCTTCTCATTCAGTAAAGCAATTTCTTTCTCCCGTCGTAACACATCCTCAACTAATCTTCCTATTCTCAGTGTTAGGTCGCTTATTAATGGCTCCAAGGTGGCAAAATCCTTTTTAAGATTGTACATCTTGGGTTTTAAGTCATTTGCAAAAGTAACGGTCTTCAGAACTTTTGCTCTGTCTCCTTCGAGATTCAAAAGTCTATCCGAATGTTTGTTAAAGTCACTCCTTAACTCAGACAAAGCTGTCTTAATTTGCTCAATTTTTCTTGCGTTACTGGACGCCAAGTTTTGTAGTTCTGTACTTCGGTCGATGCTACTGGTAATCAGATCACTTATGCTTTCTATCGTCTTCTTTTCACCTTTTTCTACCTTATCTTCCAATGCTTGCAAAGACTCCGTCAGTGCGGCCATCTCTGAGACCAGGCCTGAAATACGTCTTATGTCAGTTTTTACTGTCACAATCTTCAAAGTTACATTTTTGGCTACAGAAGCTGCATTCTCTTCAACACTTGCAACTGCGTGAAGAAGGGTTGTCAGATTCTTCTGCAGTTCTTCATTCTTTTTAACTACGCTGCTCGACCATGTTGTCATTGTATAAAAATCTTCCTGTAGACGTTTAATGTGAGAAGGTACCTGAAGATGTTCCATCTGCTCCATTAAGTTCAACGTCTTTTCACACTAAAGAGATACAAATAAAAATATATGACAAAGTTTCTAACTTAACAACAATCATCAAGATGAAAGCTATACTCTAATTAAATACCTTAGTATTATGATGTTGAAATTGAGAGCAAACCCTGTCTTTGGGAAATAAGACATTTGCTGCAAGGCAGTTAACACTGTCCTTTCAGCACATTTTGGCTGAATTTGCTAGATCATACGTGTTGGTTTTGTTTGTTTGTTTGTTTGAGAAGGGAGGAGCAGGTGGGGCCTTCCAACACACACTGCAGAAATAGCTTGGTTTTCAGGAACAGTAACATCTATGCACCTGAAGCCTGGAACCAGTCGTATGATGCAGGCATAACTACTGTATTACTCTTCCACTTCGTAACTAGCTTTTTTGTTCTTCTTCTTCAGTAAAAACAAACTTGGAAAACTCAGAGTATTACATTATTGCACCTTTTAACTACAAGGCCCTATCCGGTTGTTTTTTTTTTTAACTATTTTTATGAGAATTGATTACAATTTGGAAATACTAAGGTCAGATTGCTAATTCAGCACAGCAACTGTGTTTTTGACTTTCCTTACTGGCCCTAATCCTAACTTCAGTACAATGAAACATCCACTTGGCTGCTAAAAGCTACTAGTACAGCAACTTGGCCTGTAGAGAGCATTAGGATTGAGAAGTTTACTGAATTAAGATTAGCCACAGTACTGATTTTTAAAACAAACAATTGCAGCACGTTGTTATTCTTTCT